CACACACACACACACAGGTGTGCACACACAAAGAGTATTAAATAATAGAACATTTAGGTTTTACTTGTATGCTTATGTAAAGCTTATTCTTTCTGACTTACATGGTGGACTAGATACAGTTGGTGAGAAAATCTACAGATCATATGTGGACAAAACTATGAAAAATTAACCATTGATTGTGACCTAACTCTAAGAAGTTAGATGTATAGTTGCAATGACTATTTTAAACCCATGACAAAATCGAGTCTGTGGTTATAAAAGCAAGAATTTCAGATTCAAAGACATTGTCAGTTTTTCACCTCATATATGAATAGGATTTTGCATACCAATTGGCTGATTTTCTTAAAGTCAAGTTCAAATAGATACACTTTTCAGGTCTGTCCGGAAATTTGGCTTGAAATAATCTATCTACTTGACTCAAGCCTTAACACTTCCCAATTGAGCTGAATGTGTTCATGGACAGACACTGCTAAATTAGAGACAAAATGAATTAACTTAGCTTAAACTAATTAAAACTTGTGACCTGTGGTCCTGTCTCTTGTATGATTCTGTATGTGAAACTGGGTATATATAACCAGAATGAGGATTCTAAAGCCCACCACAAGCAAAAACATAACAATGAAGTTGGTTTATTACTAAAGCGTATATGAGAATTTAATTTCCATGGCGTGCACATGGCAAAGCAATTGCTTAAATTGCCTCACCTGGGAATTTAATACAATGTTATCATCACACCAGCCACATTGTAAATAGATTTATAATGCTTTCCATGTGCTGTTCTCTGTTGCATATGAATTAAGTAATGATCTGGTATTACAATAAAATCAGCTAGTTCCCACACCTGGCAGACAGGATATTTCACTAAATTAATACCCATACAGCCACATCACAAGGCATGGGAAAGGAAAGCATCTCGGAGGCATTTGACTTGAGTTTTACCTGGGAAGTGAATACTCCCTGGCCATGTACAATGTCACTGCACTGACTGGGCTGCTCAAGACAATCTGTTTCTAACATCTGCATCACAGAATTAAGACTTTCTCATTCCCATTCAATTTTAGCCTAGTTTCCTTCATTCAGGACTTTAATTACTAATCAGGGATCCGCAATATTCACAAACACCAAGAATGCCCTTTATTCTAATCTATGTGCTGCAGACAGCCAAATAATTGATACAAAGTGCAGTTCGGTTTTGGTAAGTAATGAAAGAATAGCTTGTCCTACTTCCCAATCAAATTGGTCTATTGAAGAAATGGTTAATAGATTTCTCCGTAGTTCTAAAACAAATTACACAGTCTGGCCAGACTTTCCCATTGCTTCTACCATGTTTTTCAGTCCCCATATATTTAATAATGCCCAAGGTTACCAGGTGATACATCTATTAAAAACTGCTATGCTTTCATAGCCAAAGAATTTAACTGCTCCTGTTATAATTAACACTTTGGGATAACTACAGAATATGGTGAAATTATATTTATTAGTTAGTCATATAATTTCTGGCATTCATTTCTTACCTAATTTTATCTGGTTCTAAT